TTTTTCTCCTACAACTTACATACCAGTGGTTTGCAAACATTAAATTGCAACCCATTAGTGTGTAGTAAACAGAATACTTTAAAAATAAATAGAAAACATCAGCATGTAGTTAAGATGTGTATTGTTGCATGAAAGTTTTGTTTCAATTATATAAATGATTGCTTTCAAATAATGAATATATTCAAATAAATATATATATTCAAATAAATAAATATATATATATGCTTTACGCCACCTAAAGTTAGAAGTAGTGGAAGTGTTCTCTTTGCTCTTCATTGCTGCCTCAAGCACCTGTTCCCTCCTTCCTCCCTAAATACGTTCTGTAACTTTGCAGCACATGCCATCAAACCATTCCATACACTACCCTTCCTTGTTATTATCACCTACCATACTCCTGGCCATTCTCCTTCTTTCATTAAAGCCTCCCTCAACTGGTTTGCTATTTCACTCTCCATAACCCCATCATCATTCCTGGTGACTTCAATATCCATGTGGACAATCCATCTCATGCCTTGGGTTAAACTGCACAAGTATTATTATTAAAATACTTTCACAGCTGCTGGTGCCTCCAGGACCCTGCACCAGAGCTTTAACCTACATTCATTTTTATGGATCCATGTCCATGCTATTACCCGTAGTTAAATACTTTGAATACTATCCCACTTAACACTCTAGCCTCTCAGCTCCTTACTTTAAATCTCTTACCTTAAATGATCATTCCCACCACCGCAGAAACTCACTCTTACAGTCATACCCTATACCTAGTTATTATCAACAACTGCAACCCCTCCCTATCTCCTGTTCAAGCACCTTACTTCATCTTCAGCTCACTCCATTCCAACCAATCTGTCTACCTCACTGAGACTCAGTAACACATTTATCTTTCATCCCATCTTTGCACTGCCCATCATCCTACTAAAGCCCTCTTTTCATCCCTTATCCAGCTTCAATTCCTAGATCTTATCATTTATCGAATTCTTACTATGTATTAAATTATTTATTTACATTATCTCATTTACCTTCAAGACAACCCAACAAAGTAGGTATAATGGCATTCGTTTTATTGATTGAGACACATTTATATATATAAATCTGCCCAATATTATAGAAATAATAAGTAGAGGTTCTACAATGTTAAATGTCTGCACCACTATTTCTTTAACCTTAAACTAGGGATAAAGATAATTTATCTCCTTGAATTGTGAAGAGCACGGTCCACAAAAAGCACTTTGTAAATTGTAAAGTGTTCTACACATGTTATAATTATTAACTACTGACTAGGGGGCCCTTACCCTTTCTCTCCACAGGATCCTAACCTGCGATTTCCCTCAACTGTCCTCTTTCCTCATGGGCACAGAGGAAGCAAAAGTTTCCACTGCTCTGTTTATAGAGAATTCATTTCTGATATCAAGCTTCAAAACTTGGAATGGAAAAAAGCAGTGTCATACATGCTGGTTCGGTTCTAACTAGCAATCGAAGGTATGGTTTCATGATGGAGAAACAGGCTTTTATAAACCAAGCTGATAATTCATTACAAAAAACAGACTAATAAAGGAAGTTTTATAATACAATCTCAAACTTGTAAACCCCCTGCATTATACTTTCTTATCCAAACCACATCAGGAGTTCAGAAATGAAAAAGCCAAGGCTGACAAGCAAGAGACTGTATCTCTTAAGGTTTTTTTGAAGGCCTGTAAAGAACTTGGAACCTTATGTGTCTGGGAGCTCTCCTTGAGTCCCGGGAAAAACACTGCTGTGTCCCAAGGAACTCTGTATTCCACATGCTAGAATCTGGCTATGGGCCCAGCTCATCCCATTCTGTTCTGAATTCTATCAACTGGGCAGTCCTGGACTAAGAATAATGTAATTAGACCCATCAGGTATATCAATTCCTTGTATCACTAAATGTACTGACTCCCTATTTCTTGACATGGCAAATAAAAATCCTTGACCCACTATTCTAATCTTTCTATCAATTGCCCTATTTCATTTTTTCTCTACTCTTGATATCCCCACAACTCTGTTCTTCATCCCACAGCATGCCACACAGCATGTCCATTTCTCCCTTCTGATTCTATCCAAGATGCTGTTCCTACATTTTGCCTTCAAAGCTGATCTTGAAACAATTCCACCAGAAAGTCTTAAAAAGATGAAATCATCTGCCTGCAACTCAGCTCCTATTTAATTACTCTACCTTGCCCCGCCAGTAAGGCTCAGTGATTAAGCATTGACCCACACACCTAGAGGTTGTCGGTTCAATTCCCGGTCAGGGCATATGCCCAGGTTGTGGGCCAAATTCCAGTGGGGGGCATGCAGGAGGCAGCCAGTTGATGTTCTCTCTCATTGTTGTTTCTATCTCTCTCTCCCTCTTCCTGCCTCTCTTTCTAAAATCAATAAAGAAACAAAAATTAAAAAAATAAACAAATAGAAAATTACTCCACCTTGTAACATTGAGTTTGGACTTGTCTCTATATTACCGTGAAAGGTAAGGTACCACTCTGGTGACTGATGCACCAGATTATAAATCTAAGGCCAGGGTTCAATTTCCAATTTTGCCATTTGGCTTACTTAATGCCCTTGAACCCATGCTGAAATAATATCTATACCTCTCTGTTTGTTGATGGACAGTTAAAGAGATGACACATTAAAGGCATAATATACAGGTATTTTACATTTTTTTCTCAGCGATGTTTAAGACAAGATTCTGGCATAAAGTAGATGTTTATTAAATATTAATGATTCACTATGATGCCATTAGGCCAAAGCTTATTTTTCTCAGTTGTTTTTTTTTAAATCCTTACCTGAGGATACTTTTTCCATTTATCTTTAGATAGAGTGGGAGGGAGGAAGAAAGAGAGATAGAGATAGAGATAGAGATAGAGATAGAGATAGAGAGAGAGAGAGAGAGAGAGAGAGAGAGAGAGAAATGGATGTGATAAAGACACATCGACTAGCTGCTTCCCACACAACCCTGACCAGGGCTGGGGCCTGAATTGCAATCGAGGTATGTGCCCCTGGCTGGAATTGAACCTGCGACTCTGGTCCACAGACCAATGTTCTAACCGCTGAGCCAAACCAGCCAGGGCTCAGGGTTTTTTTCTTTTTCTTTTTTTAATACTGTCTCGCATTGATTATTTCCCAAAGAAGAAGAAAGGAGGGTCTATGCTGCTTCTCATATCTATCTGCCAGCTCTCTCCAAATATCCCTTTAAAGTCAGGTTTAGTTACTTGGTTATATTCAATTTAATATTGTGTGGCAGAAGCAATGCTAAGTGTTCATCAAACCCCATTTCCTTTGCTACTAGGCACACCATTTTATTTCCTAGCCACCCCTGCAGTTAGGTAGAGCTATGTGACCACACACCTGAATTCTGGCTAAGGTAATAGGGTGAAAACGATGAACACCATTTCTAGGGCCACAGCTCTCTTTCCTTATCGGAGGCCTATAGATTGGAAGATTCCAAGGCAACAGGGGATGGTGGAGCCACAGGATAGAAGCAGCCTGGACTTTCCATGATTGAAAGAAGCAGACACCCCACCTACTGGCCAACCAACATGATACACTGTGATTTGTATGAAACATAAGCCTTTATTGTGTTAAGCCACTGAGATAGTGGTATTGTTAGACTACCCCAATTAATACACCTTGTATTTATCACCGGTGGAAACATAAATGAAAAGAACTCCTGGACTTAGTTCCAGGACCTGAGATACAAACCTTGGTTCTGCCACTACCCCCACATATGCCATAATCTGCTCTAGAATATGCTCTGTACCCTTTCCCAACTGCATGTCTAGCACCTTCTCCTCTTTCTCATTATGGCCTCAAGTCTTCTGCAAGGTCTTCTCTGACCTCTCTCCCATACATGTTCACTTCTTTGTTCTCAGTGCAAAGGATATTCCTCCATTTTATCATTCATTATGTTTTATTGCAAATATTTGTTGACCTGTGTTTCCATAGACTGAGTCCTTAAATCCACAGACAGTTCCTTTAGGATCTTGACTCCCATCATTTAGTTACAGTGCCTGGCACATAGGAAAAAATAAACATATATTAAAGGAATGCTTGTGACCTATGACCTTAAGTGAGTCATATTTTTTAAGTCTGTAAGATTTCACAGAACTGTTGTGATGAGAAATAATGCATGTGACTTGTAAATTATAAAAAGATTCTAACAGCAATGTGTTTATTCTGTTCTGTAGGCCTTTCTCGTCCTTTCCATTCAAATTCATCTTAATCCTTCATTCGAAGTAGCTCTGTCCAATAGAAGTATTTAATGCAAGCCACATTCATAAAATTTAAACATTTTAGTAGCCATATAAAAAAGTTAAAAGTACATAAAATTATTTTTAATAAGTTTTAACTCAATATATCCCAAATACTGCTTATTAGCTATTTTACATGTTGTTAATTAAGTCCACACATGGAGGCTCAGCCGCCACATGGGACTACTGGCTCCTGCAAAACGGACAATGCCGCTGGCGGCCTAGGTCTGGGTGAAGTCGACTGACCATCCCCGTTCGGAGTAGTGACCCCTCCACGGTGCTCTCTCAAGGCCGCCGTCCTCTTAGCTTGAAACCCAGCAGGTCAGTTCCGTGAGGAATTCCAGACTGGCGTCCCGCGAAATCGCCCTCACAGCGATTGTCCGGCACGTAAGAGCGGTTATTGCATGTCGAGGTCATCCCCGAACCCGTGTGCGGAGAACCCCGTGGGAGGCCGAGCGGCCGGGCGGACATGGCCAGTGAGGGAGCGGGCCAGCGGCCCCCGCGGGCCGGGACCCGGACGCCTGGGCCTGCGGCGGCCCCGCGGTGGCGGCCCCGGGCGGGGGGCGCCGAGGTCTGCGGTCCCGCCGGCCCGAGCGTCTGCGGCCCGCCCCCCTCACCCCCCGCGCCGCCGCCGCCGCCGAGCCCCGGAAGCGGGCGGGATTTCCTGTGCCCGCCCCGCCGCGCCCGCCGGGCCGCCGTCTCCGCCCGCCGCTGGCTCCGCGGCCGTCGGCTCCGACGAAGCGAAGGGCGGAGGGGAGGGGCAGGCGGCGCCCAGGAGGCAGGCACCGGGCCGCGGGCCAAGACGACCGGGGTGAGTGGGGACGGGCGGGAGGCAGTCGCGGCTGGAGGGAGGGACGCCTGGCTTCCTGGGGCGGCGGGTGGGGGCCCGGTCACCCGTGGGGGCGGGGAGGAAAACCGACGCGGCCTCCGGGTCGCTGCCTTCCCCCGGGGTCGGCCCCACTGACGTGTTTGTCCGTCCCGTCGCCCTGTTCCCCTCGTCCCCGTCGTCGCTGTCAGCCCTGCGGGTTCCCGCCGCTGTCACTCGCGCACAGGTTACCCCACGGCCCCTTTCTCCTCACTTGCTCATGCCCCAGTTCACGGGAAACCTGTTTTCTGACCTCACTTCCCCTGCCCCAGCTCTGTGTCTCGGATGCTCTGAAACCTGACGCCCTCAGGGGCACTGTGACAGGGAGGGAAGAAGCCACCTTACTCCGGAGCAGACGCCCCTCCGGCTCGCGCCCCGCCCGGGGCAGGGGCCCGGCTTCTCGGACCCAGCGCCACTTGTCCCTGTGCCCTTGGGCCACTCAGCTCAATACCTGGCCCTTTCTCAGTCCAGCAGGACTGGCTGCAAAAACTAACTTCTGCAGGTGCCTGCGGGTCCCCCGCCCCAGATATGTGAGGAAAAGGCGGAAGTGAAAGCCCTAGAAGCCGACTCCAGTAGGCCTGGGGTCATCCTGGGACCCGGAGAAAGCAGGTTAGGGCCGGCTGCTTCACTGCCCAGGTGCTTGCTCTGAGAGCTCCCGCCTCTGGAGGTGCATCTGAGGACAGGTGCCGCCCCCTCCCTCCTGCGCTGAGATTTTTCAGCACTTCCGCAGGTTTTCTGTCAGTGGTCTGGCGAGGCTCACAGCTGGCCCAGTGGGCTCTGCAGAGAGAGGCCTCTCTGGGAAGAGGGTTTGAGACAGGTGTCCAGATATTTACCTAGAGGGAAAGTCCTTGGGGAGGATTTATGAAGGGAGCTGGAGAACAAGGAAGACCTCTGGTGAAGGGGAGTCAGTGGTGCCTTAGGTGTTAAAAGTGAAGCAAATACAGGGGCCGGAATTCAGAGGAGAGAACTAAAATGGAAGTTTGCCTTTCTTGCTTTATTGGGAATCTTCCTTTCTCATGAGAAGTCTCTGAAAGGGAAACCTAAACTGGGAATCAGTCCAGGATGCTCCCGTGGGGCCCTGGGGCATCGTTGGACTTCTGAGATGAAAGGGGAATTGTTCCCTTTCTGTGCATTGGGCTTAGGGTTCGCACCTACCCCTTTTGTCAAAGAGAAATGTCAGGAAAATAAACAACTTGAGATCTGTCATTACCCATCCTGGACTCCTGGGTTCTTGCAAATGTTATTGTGTGGATGTGAGTGAGCCAGTATAGTACCAAGGTTCTGCCAAGGAGAAAGGAACCCTGTGCAGTCTTGTAGACTGTTTCTCTGCCATAAGGCAGCAAGGCCCCTATCACAACACAAGTGGGACATGTCCAGCTTTTAAGATGTCCAGAGAAAAGAAGAGCCCACAAACACAGCCCTGTGCACTGCTGGATTATTAAGAATTAAAAAAAATCTAACCTAAACCTCTTCTCTTGCAATCAAAAGAAGAGATCTGGCCCTGACTGTGTGGCTCAGTTGGTTGGAGCATCTTCTGTACACCGAAAGGTTGGGGGCTTGATTCCCAGTCAGCACACATACTTAGGTTGCAGGTATGATCTCCAGTTGGGGCACGTACAGGAAGGCAACTGATCGATGTTTCTCTCTCATATGATCCATGTTTTTCTCACCATCAGTGTTCTCTGCCCCCCCCCCCCCCCCCCCGCCCCGGCCCTTTCTAGAATCAATAAGCATGTTTCCGGGTGAGGATTTTAAAAAAAAGAAGTGACCTGTATAGAGATACAAAACATTCGTCTTTTTATTCATTGGTAGTGTCATTCATCAGCCTTCTTCCTTAAGCAAGATGGAACTATGTCCATTGTTTTTAACTTTTCCCCAATGGCCATATTTCCCATTCTAAACTTTTGTTTTTTCCGATGGAAAAAAAAGTGCTCTTGACACAAATACACCCTTTGGCTGAGACTTTTACCTATGGTAATCATTTAATTCTAAACTAATTGATGAGGATGGAATTTGTGGCAGAAAACCATCCGTTTTTGTTGGGTGCAAGTCTGTGTGCATTCCTTCCTGCATGTTTCCAGATTGCTTACTTTACTGTATTTTCAGTGGTTGGAATTAATAGATAGCTTTTGAATTTCAGGATTGTTCCTTTATTTTTTTAAAAAAATGAAGTTCTTCCAGCCTTCAGGGATATTATATTCCTACCATGAGGTTCCCAAAATAACCATTAGTGACTTTGCTTTGTAGCACCTGTTCATTTCTTAGCTCCTCCAAGAAGCTTGGCTCAGGCTCAGTTGATTGGAATACATCAGGCTTTTAAAGTTCATCTTCCACCAGGCTCCTCTTATCCAGTTTCATCTTTTATCCCTTGGCTGTTCTCCCTTAGGAATATCAGCCCTTTCCATTTTCATAGGAATAGCTGATATGAATTTGTTCCAGGTCACAATTTGGGTTTGCAGCGAAAATGCTTTCAGAACAGACAGTAGCCCTGGGGACAGGATGGGAGTCAATGAATGTCCAGCTGGATGGAGCAGAGCCCCAGGTGGAAAGGGGAAGCCAAGGAGAGGGGCCATGGAGAACGGCACCAGGGCCACTGGAACACCTGTGCTGTGACCTTGAAGAAGAGCCACAGTCCCTTCAGGAAAAGGGTGAGAATCTGGAGGGTGTGTGGCGGGGAAGCACAGCACAGAGAGTAGTCTCCTAATCTCTGTTCAAAAAGTTGAGTTAAAAATCCCCAAATTGCCATGGACTGAATGGTATAATCAATATAACAACTAGTCTATTCTTCCTTGGTCTTGGTCATAGGAATATAAAGCGCTCCTGGATTCTGCAAGCCACATAACTGGGTTTCTCCCATTTCTTGCCTAACCACTCCCTCCACATGCTGCAAGTGCATCTTAGTGGTATTGAATGTAGGAGACTAAGGAAGTGACAGCAACACTGATTACTGTTGGAGAACACACCCAGTAAGATGTACTTTACAAGATGAAAATTACATTCAAATAATATAAATTCAAACCACAGCTAGTCTAGTAGATATGGATGACAGAATAGCTCTACTAAAAACCACTCAATACCCTTACAGAACATTTTGAGGGAAGATCTCTTCTACTTTATTTCTACATTTGAATTGTACCAATGGGCATAGATATAGAAAAACTGTGACCCTTATGCCCCTCTAAAATGGGGCCTAGGCTCTTTATGGGAAAGGATGGATGGTACACTTCTAATGGTTCCTTTCTCCCCTCACCAGCTCAGTCGGCTCCCTGGGTCCCTGCCATTCCCCAGGAGGGAAGCACCGGAGATTGGGAGATGGCAGCAGCACTTCTTGCAGCCGGATCACAGGTGGGCTGTGTGTTTCCTTTGGCCTCTCCCAGGGCCTCATCACTGCTGCCTTTCTATAGCCTTAGCATCATCCCACTAATTTGTTATTTCACATGATCACTGATAGTATGTTCATCTTATAATTGAATAGATTCTATCCCTTTCCAAGAAGCCCACAATACCTTTAAAAAATGGAGGCATAATAAGAAGAGGGGAATTCCTAGAAGTTAGTTTTTTTTGTTTTTTTTTTAAATAGACAGCTGTGCTATCCACAGGGGGATTTTAAGAACAATTCATTAATATCTTTTAAGAAATAAATCTTTCAAGATTAGGAAAAGAGAACCTGAAGGAAGGTTGGAAGAGCATAAAGTGGACAAGTCTGGGTGGATGATGGGGCATTTATGGAAAAGGGCAAGAAGAGATGAAGGCACTTGTGTAAGGCCATAATGCTAGTAAATGGCAGAGCTAAAAGTTACTTGGTTCCAGAATTGGGACACCTAAACACCATACTACGCTGCCTCAGAAGATAAGGATACGTCATGATGGCGGGGGTGGGGGAGAATGTTTCTTCTATATCATTTTGTGCTGATAGAAAAGGAATGGTCAAGTGGAGGAAGGAGGAGATAGTACACAATTTCTTCAGTAGAAATAATAAGGCTGGTGAGAAGAGACTGGAAGACACCTGTAGTTAAACAGAGAGAGCAGTGAGTTTCTAGTGTCTCTGACTTCTTTTTGTCCCCCTTGGGAAGCTCTTCTAGAGACACTGTCCTCACTCACCCACTGACCATTACCTTTACCCCTCTCCTTATTTCCCTTTCACCAAAACTGTGTGCCCTACCTAGGGACCTCTGGGCAATTTTTTTTCTAGACCTTCTCTTGCCCTCTCTCCTCTACTACCCCAGCCTTTTATATTGGGATCACATTTTCCTTAAGGAACAGCTGGTGACAGATGATGCTACGTTATATTTCAGGGCCTGGTAACCATCAAGGATGTGTCATTGTGCTTCTCTCAGGAGGAATGGCGGAGCTTGGACCCTTCTCAGACAGACTTTTATGGAGAATATGTCATGCAGGAAAACTGTGGGATCGTGGTCTCTCTAAGTAAGCAAGACCTTTCCCAGCCACTAAAAGAATGTGTTCAGGGAGGATAGAGCCATGTGCTCCAGCTCTGTTGGGTAGTGTCTATCTAGTGTTCTTTCCTTGTCAGGAATCTGTCTATCCTTCCACCAGAGAAAGAGCACTAGGGCTAATCCAAAGAGAATGGAAATGAGGTGTCATTTTTAAAGACAACAGCAAAATAATGCTGAATTATGGAGAAGAGAACTTTAGGTTCTTTTTGGTTGGGAATTGGCAAGTTCTTACAAAGTAGAGAGAAGGACATCTAAGACATGGAACTCTGAATCCTTGAAAACTCAGAAATCATCTAGGGAAAGATGGGAGTGTGGGCAGGGTGAGGCAGCTATATTAGAGCTAAATAAATGAAGTTATGACCAGAAAGGACACCTGGGCTGGAAGTATTTGACATATAGTGAAAGAGAACACACGCGTTGGGGAAGGGTATGTGATTTTCCAGAAAAAAAGAAGAGCAACTTAAGAAATGGGAGGAGATGAGGAGGGAGAAGCTTGCATCTGGCCTTCTTTTATCTAGAGTTTTAAGGAATAATATAGAAAACAGCTTTTTTTCAGAAGTACAGAATTACTGTTGTACTAATTGACATCCCTTATTTTCCTTTCCCATGGGCAGGATTTCCAATTCCTAAGCTGGACATGCTTTCTCCACTAGAAGGAGGGGAAGAACAATGGGTCCCTGACACGCAGGACTTAGAGGAGAGGGACATCCTGAGGGTAACATATACAGGTAACAACCCAGAGTGGACTTTCAGGCACAGCCTTCATCCCTTTTGGAATGTTATCATTACATGTCCCTCTAATCCCTCCTCTGCCTCAGAGAGTTAGTTATAAAGTCAAAAGGTTTAGAGATCTTCTTCTTCAAAAGCAAGACAGTATAGCAGAATGTTTTAGAAGGCAGGCTCTGGAGCCAAACTTTGTGGATTTGATTTCAGGGCCTTAGAAAAGTAATTAACCTCTCTTTGGGTTCCTCACCTTTAAGTGATTGTGAGATTTAAGTATGTTAACATGGTAAAACAGTACCAGATCCATAATAAGCTCTCAATAAACATTAGTTGTTGTTGTGACTGTTGGTGGTGGTGTTTAACTTCCCACCTATTGCAGAAAGGCCTTCCACAGTGTCTCTAATTGCTGACAGGTGGCCAGCCAGCCATTGATGATTGCAGCACATTTTTTAACTCTCTTCATTTATGCTTAAGCAGGAAGATGGTAATTAATAGTAAAAACTAGTGGTAATAAGTAATAGTAATAAATAATTACAATAGCATAGACCATTTACTAAGTGTTTACTATGTGCAGGCACTGTGCTATCTTACAACATCTATTTATAATTATTTCCATTTCACAGAAGAAATGAAGGCTAACAGAAATTAAGTGGAAAAGTTGAGATTCAAAATTAGGGAGTCTGGCTCTGACCAGTTTGGCTCCCCAGTTAGAACAGCTCCCCAGTTAGAACACTGGCCTAGGGACTGAAGGGTCGCGGGTTTGATTCTCAGTCAAGGGCACGTACCTGGGTTGCAGGTTTAATCCCTAGCCCCGGGTGGGGTCATGTGGGAGGCAACCAATCAATGTGTATCTCTCACATTGATGTTTCTCTCTCTCTCTCTCCCTCCCTCCCTTCCACTCTATTTGAAAATCAATGGAAGAATATCCTTGGGTGAGGATTAACAAAAAAGCAAACAAACTAGATAGTCTGTCTCCTAAGCCTAGGCTTCTAACTTCTACACCTTTTGTACTGTCTTGTATGACATTAAACTCTGTTCTTTTAGCCCTTGTTGGGTGAGGTTTAGGCTCTAACAGACATACAACCTCACCTGTGACTTGGGTCCTGAAGTACTCTGTGGTGACTCCCCTTTTGGGGTCGGTATTTTCCCTTCTCCACAGGAGATGGAAGTGAGCAGGAAGGGGATACCCCGGAACTAGAAGCAGAACCTCCCAGAATGTTATCTAGTGTGTCTGAAGATACTGTTCTCTGGAACCCAGAGCAGGAGGAGAGCTGGGATTCCATGTCCAGAAGCTCCAGAGGAATGCTCCTGGGGCCACCTTTTCTTCAGGAAGATAGCTTCTCAAGTCTCCTGTGTAACACAGAGATGGATTCCCTGTTAAGACCGCACACATGCCCCCAGTGTGGGAAACAGTTTGTGTGGGGCTCCCACCTTGCCAGGCACCAGCAAACTCACACAGGGGAGAGGCCCTATAGCTGCCTCAAGTGTGAGAAGAGCTTTGGGCGAAGACATCACTTGATTCGGCACCAGAAAACCCACCTACATGACAAGCCCAGCAGGTGCTCTGAGTGTGGAAAGAATTTCCGATGCAACTCCCACCTGGCCAGCCACCAGAGAGTGCATGCTGAAGGCAAATCCTGCAAAGGCCAAGAAGTCGGAGAGAGCCCTGGGGCTAGGAAACGGCAGCGCACTCCACCGGTGCCCAAGTGCCACGTGTGCACTGAGTGTGGGAAGAGCTTTGGCCGACGGCACCATCTGGTGAGACACTGGCTGACCCATACTGGGGAGAAGCCCTTCCAGTGCCCTCGCTGTGAGAAGAGCTTTGGCCGTAAACATCACTTGGACAGGCACCTGCTGACCCACCAGGGACAAAGTCCCCGGAGCAGCTGGGACAGAGGGACATCTGTCTTTTGAATTCTGTTTCTGCTGTAGCTGTGGTCATATCTATCAGCTGGTGCTACCAGGAGCCTCTGCCAGAGCTGCCCCTCTCCTGCCCCCAATGGCCAGGATCATGAGCCCTGGCTTTATCCCAGAAAGATGAAGTTTCTGCATTGGCCAGAGCACTTTTCACCAGTTCTGTGAGATACTACATAAAATGGAGTTTTTGGGAAAAACTTTTGGGAAACAATGCTTACTACATGGGCTGACATTCAGCCTGAGCCCATTCTCAAGGGTACAGCCGTACCAGTGGTTTATGGCTGAGGTCCATTTTGATTGATTGGAGCCTGTGCCATACCAGTTATTAAATATTTTGAGTATCGCTACTGTGTACTATAACTTATATTCTCTTTATATATATATATATATATATATGGAGAGAGAGAGAAAGACCATGTTGGCATATTAAAGGCTCTGAAAGTTTATGCAATAGATTATATTGTTAAGCCTCTTAATGCAGTGTTTCCTAAATGTATTTAACCTCAGTATTCTTTCTATCTCACATCTCACAGAACTGGTGACTCCATGAAACACTCTGGTGAACACTGGGTTAGAATAATGAGGAAACAGGAAAGAGCCCCCCTTTTTTATCCAATTGAAAGCTGAGGGGAAGATCTCATTCCTTTGTGGGTCCATCACCTTTACCCCTGTCATCTGAATATACATCCACACCTCTCACCCCCACCTGCCGAAAAATAGAAACAATAACCTTTTCATCCCTTACTCCTACTCCCTTTATCCTGCACATACATATATCCAGCTGAGATCATACTACCATGCTAAGAGATGGACCTTATACTTCCAAGTAATCCAGACTCATACAGAAGAAAAAACTTTATCCCCTTGGATAGTCCCCTCTTCTCTTGACTGTGTCTTTATGTGTCTGTGTGTATCTGTGTGCAGGGTCTTTGAAGAGAGCATGCAAAGTGCAAACTGTAAAAGTTAGATTTTCTACAGGCTGTGTTCTGGTGATGAGGGTAGTGAGAATTGTATGAGTTTTTGTTTTGTTTCAAGATAGGAAGTAAGTTGAGTGATTAAGGGATCCCTAGTGGGAAGGGTTAAGGGTAGTATTGTGGGAGTTGAGGTATAACGCCTTCTTGAATGTCACTGAGATCAAGACAACTGGATATATATGTCTAGGTCTGAATCTCTGGGCCACAGATTCTTTTTGCTTGGATGGAGAGAGAAAGAAACATCCTCAGTGAGGTGAGCATTTTCTTGTTGATTTCAAGCAAGATACATAAAGAAGTTTTGTGCTGAGTGGGTTTTTTTTTTTTTTTGTCTTAAGTGCTGGGAAATTAGGGCAGGAATCACAGTGCTTATAGGTTGTGGTCATTACTCTTGTTTGACCTTGATTGCCTCATCAAGGGGGCAGAGTTATTCTTGAGGATTTTTTTCTCCCTGAAACAGAACTTTAGGGGAAATGGCTGTGATTTAGCTTTTCAGCTGAGGCAGGGTAATGAGCTTTCCATTTGGTTTTCCTCACAATTCTGGGAAGGTGTCCATGCTAAGATTCTTAACTCCAGGACTTGCATAAGTATTCTAGCGTCTGTTAATTGATGAGTTGGTCATTGTTTCTCTTTATTGATGATGTGTTAATACCAATCTTATAATTTAAAAATTATCTTGTATGTAAGAGCAGTTTGGGGTTAGAGAGAGAGGGGAGCAAAGAGCATGAAAGTGGATATTTTCTCTTTAATGCTTAGATTCCGTTTTTTGTTTTTTTTTTTCTTAACACACTTATTGTTCAACCACGCTTGGTGGAATTAACCAGAGAGGTAAGAAAGAAGTGAGCTGCAATGGTCTAGTTTAATGACTGTCCTATTTGCTTAGGAAAAATGGGGTGAATCACAGTTCCTCAGAGCCCTGGATGCATATGGGGCTGAAAATAGGGTCATTTTGTTGAAAGGATTTCTTAGAGTGGATTTGACTTGATCAATCCAGTCCCTGCCTTCTGCTGCTCAGAACAGCCTGCCTTCTTTGCCTAGAATGCCCTTCTCTTATTTATGTTCATATGAATAGAGCAGATTGGCCAGCCCTTTATAAGGCAGCCTTGTCCTAGATCCTCAGAGACAGGAGTGTTTTAGGATCAGTAATAGGAGATGCTCCAAGTAATAGGAAAGTATTGCATGTAAAACTGGACTATGCCATTTCTTTTACCCTCCCACTATGCCTTATTCAGTCATGCAAATCAGCTCTATTAAGCAATGGTTTAGAACTTCTTTTGGATCACAGACTCTTTTGAGAATCTTAAAAACCAGGAACTCATTTTTGAAAAAATATACATTAGCAGTTCACTCAGTTTTCCATACACATTTAGCAGGTTCAGAACCTATCCATGGAATCACTTAAACTGGGGTCAAAGAAAGGGTATGATCATTATATATTTGTCTCAAAAATGACAAGGCAAGGGTCATTAAATACTTTAAGGAATAAGATACCAGAGGCAGTAGGACATAAGGATAGAGTATGGTCCAAAATGACTAGAAGGGTATTACTTACAATCTACTCTTTTTTTTAAAGATGTGGTACGCTAACAAATCCAGCTCCTCACCCACCTTGTTTTAAAGACTTATAGGAGGTGACTCGCCATACTGTCAGATCACACCTCTTAATAACCAGATGCTAACCTCCAGTCTTTGATCTGTTTTATTAATTGTAAGGATAGAAAGCGAAGCCCCTAAAGTGCAGGTGCAGTCGTAGCACCCAAGTGTATGCCATGGAGTCTATGGCCTCCTGCCGAAGGGCATCCCTTTAGGTCATTTCTGGTATACCACTGTCTTCTCTACCTCGTCCAATAACACTCCCCTTGGGCAGAAAATAAAATAAGCAACAGCCATCAGATGGGTGGGTAGATTTGAATGATTTTTTTTTACAGGGAATCAGCCTCAAACTCCCATCTCTCTCCCAACTCTCTCTGCCACATGTCTACCCTAACAGTTTTAAATAAAAAATGTCTCTGTGTTTTCTCTGGGCAAAATGTAAAATAGAGAAGTCCCACATAAGGAACCTGTCACCTTTTCCCTCTGTGGTGCCTCTACTCTATTCAGGACCCAATAATCTTCCCCTTTTCATCCCATCAAAGTATCTCTGTAGCCCTGGCCAGGTTTGACTCAGTAGTTAGAAGTAGACCCGCAGACCAAAGGGTCATAGGTTTGATTCCAGTCAAGGGCTTGTACCTGGCTTGCAGGCTCTGGCCCTGGTTGGGGTTGTGCGTGAGACCACCTGTTTGTCTCTGTCTCTGTCTCTCTCTCCCCACCCTCACCCTTCTTTTCTCCCTCCTTCCTTTCTGCTCTATGTAAAAATTAATGGAAAAATATCCTCGGGTGAGAATTAACAACAAAAAAAAGTATCTCTGTAAAGAATCCCTTGCACAGGAGAATGTGACCCAGTGTTAGCTTTACCTAGATCTATTTACATTTTAAGCATTAGTTCTGATAACTAATAGTCGACATGGAAGGAAAAGTTTTTCCCCTGTTAAAATGATGTTATGCCTTTAGGGAGCTGAAGGGGTGATAATTTGAGACTAAATCCTCTCCTTTCCAGCACTCCTATAATAAAACCACTGTTACCTACTTTGGTCAAGGGCAGGGTGAGCCCTGAGGACCATAGGTACCAGAAGATAGGTACTTTTCATCCCTGTTTGGATGCGGGTGAGTGGGGCGGGGCAATGTCAGAAAAGTGAAATCTATTCTCTTATACCCTTTAGAGATCTTGAGCTGGCAAAATTTTTTTCTTTTTCCTGGAATGCCCTACTAGGACTGGGGTCTCAGAATGTGTGGTCTTTGGACCAGCAGCATCAATACCACCTGGGAACTTGTTTTACAAATGCAAATTCTCAGGCACCACCCCAGACAACTGAATCTGAATCTTGGGGGATGGGGGTGGAAACACAGCAATCAGTTTTTTAAACTGTCTTCCTGGATCTCTGAGGTATGGTAATGTTTGAGAACCTCTGGCTCAGAGGTTCGAATTTTATTTCAATCTGGCACCTCACCCTCTTCAAATGAGGAGAGAAGAGGGGATCTTTACACCTGTTGTCTGATTTTCTGCAACTTCTCTAGGCTAGTTGCTTTTTTGTTCTGTTCCTCTTGAGTCCCAAGGTCTTCCCTCTTCAATCAGTAAAAGGACTGGTCAGTCACCTATTTCAGATCAAAAACTGGTGGGGCAACTACCAAACTGCTGTGATCGATTGGGGCTGGAGCTTCTTAAATGGGCATTGGGGATTTGTGGGTCCAAAAATCTGAAAGGACAAAAAGGAGCAGACACATCAAAGAAATGATATCCAAAAAAATGATCCTCTACTAGTTATCTGGTCCTTTTCCAGGCCTAGTAGTTGCCAGGGAGACAGGTGGTGTGAGCATTCAGCACAGAGGCAGGGAGTAAGGCCAGTTGTTCCAAGCCCTTAAGAACTGAAGTCTTCTGGCTTAAGAATGCATTGGACAACAATAAGGTGGTGTGCGTGCAAGGAATTTCTAACCATGATTTGGTCTACCATATGGGCAAGGGCAGCAGGAGCATCAGGGAGCCCCCAGGGACACAAGAGGGAATCAGGCTCATTGAGTAAGGTGTGACTCAAGTAGGATTCCAACACAGATTCTGCTAGATGGAGGTTGTAACCAACTAAACCATGGCACCTATAAAAAAATGCACTCTCTTACTTTGAAGATTCTGTCACATTCAGGCTTTGGAAAGGGGTCATTACCTCTTCCAGCTCCTCTCCTAAGCACACTCATGATATCAGGCTGAAATGAAAATTGGAAATCTGCCACCTGTGTGGGTTCCAAGGCCAAAAGGTTAGAGTGAACGTAAGTCTTTTGGGGGGAGCCAATCAGCCTCTCTCCCCTAAGGCAGAAAAGCTTGGCTGCTGCTTTCTTCAGCTCACACCTCAGGCAGAGTCTCTCCCTTCCTCTCACCACCCCCAATAAGAGGAGCTCTTTCTCCACTCTTTAACTCCCACTTCTCCTTTTCAGTTTGATTTGGTTTGATGTTTTGTTTTGTTTTGTTTTGTTTTGTCTGGAAAATACCACACCTTCCTGAGGGTGTTTGTTTTCACAATCCCTGTCCTTCCATCATAGTTCTTCTCTCTTGTCCAGTTTCTTTTCTGTCATCCTTAAGCCAACTAAGCAGTTTCTTTTCTCAAATTCTTGGCTTGGCTATAGCAGCTCAGGAGCCATCTCACCACTCTATACCTCACTCTCTCATATCTGGGCTTGGCCAAGGTTTCTGGTACTGTAAAATCCATTCCCTACAAGCTCTTGTCCCTTGATGTAGCAGCTTTCTACTTTTCACTACTTTGATTTACTCAGCCCTTCCTATCTCTTGCGGATCCTGAGAACTAGTCCCAATTCTATAAGCCATTTTCTGAGTTCTTACTATGTTCCAGGTCTGGGAGATTGTGATCACAGTTCCTGTTCTCAGCACGTTTCTCAGCCGAGCCTTCCTGCCACCACTTTCCTGCCATGCCTCATGACACTGTGCGCCAAGGTGCTCTTTTCCAGGAAGCTTATATGCCCACTTGCCATCCAGTCCAACTTCTCTGTGCCTGCCAGATTTCTAGCAATGTCAGACCTAGTTCTCTCTGATGGACTGTGAACTTTCCACAGATTACCCAGTGGGGGACCTTTCTATCCTTAGGGATCTATAATACCATCTTATGGTCCCTATTCATTGAATAAAGGATATATTGGCTGTGTCACTGATTTCCTCTGTTGGTCCTTTACACCCCCCCCCCCCCCCCCCCCCCGTTCTCAGCTCTTCAGTAAAAAAGCTGCAACAGAGTGGGGACACCAGACAGCTTTGGGGGAGGTCATGTAGCCATGTGTAAGCCCCCTCACAGCTCCTCCTAAAACATAACCCTCAATATGTCACAAGTTAGGCCTCTGTTTCTCCCTCCTGAAGTCCTGGTTCCCAGATGTCACTCCCCAGTCAGCTAGGGATTCAGCTCCTACTGGAGCCTGGGGTAGCTGAGCACTGAGCAGGGCTAGGCCTGGCGTAAGGCCAGGAGAATGAGGGACTAGGTACACATTTAAGGAAGCCTTGGTCTCAGGGTCATTCAAGTTCTGACTCTCTTGGGAGACAGAGTGCTGAGCCCTTAGACACTTAGACTGCTGAGTCTGGAGCCAGGTCATGGTGGTGACACCAAATTGACCTCCTAGGCAAATTCACATTAATTGGTGATTTGGGGGGAGCCAGAGGAGGTGCACACACATGGGGTTAGGCAGGAACTGGATCCACCAGATGCATTCTCTTTTGAGGGTGAAGCGGTCGGGCATCTGGCAGGTTATCAAGAGTATAGAGTAAGAAATAGTGTGGAGAAAATATGGAAAGCTGGCACGGGGGATACCACCAGCCTTTGACCCTTCCAGCCCTGGAGCTTCACTGGGGTAGGGAGAGGGAACCACTTTACAGGCGTTGAGCACAACCCAAAGGCTTTGCTCTTCCTGCATGGGAGTTGCTTCAAAGAGCCTCAGGCCTACTGTGTAGGGGCTGCTTCCCCTCAGCAGCTTTCCCATCACCAACCAGATTGTTTTGTCACCTGCCTCCGCGCTTCATGTTTTCCTGTTTTCTTGCAGGTCATGCTCACTCCCCCTTAGTCACTTGGAGTAAAACTTTTGACTAGTGGGGTCTTTTAAAAGGGGGAGGAAACATATAGCTGTGATTGTTCATGGAGGTACCTGTTCTGTCAGCCAGCTCCAGGGGACTGTTGAAAGCCTCACTTCCTTCTTACAGATCAATGCCTTTCCCAGGCTCATCCAAGGCCTCTTGCTGGTAACCAACACCCCCACCCCCCCAGTTTCTCTCTTCCAAGTCCTTTCCTAACATGGTGCCCCTATTTTAGTTTCCCAAATAACCCATCTTCCTATCCTTGCTAGGTACTGAGCTTTTGGCTGGAGTAACCTCCAGCCCAACCAGCAGACTTGCCATGTTAGAGTTCCCCAGAGGAGGAGAAAGAACAGGAAAGATCTACTGCGTTGAGAACACTGACATAGAGAAATGTTCACATGTTCTGAAAACACCTCACCATAATGTGCTTGAGAACATCCTTCCCTACAAGAAATCACTAATCTTTAGAAACAAATATTAAACTTCTGAACTTTACCTATATAAAAAAGACGTCTTGCAGAGTTAATGAGTAGATAGTGAGGCCCCATTCAACATCTGTAACTGTAGTGAAGAGAGCACTGGGTTAGCAGTTTAAAGTCAATTTTTAAATTGTGCATTTTCTAAGCATTGGTGTTTTCACCTGAGATCTGAAAGGTTGGGGTGAAGATGAAACAATGCATGCAAAAGTACAAACCACCTTATAAATGAGAAAAACTATCATTGACAATTATTTTGAGCAAGTCACAATTTATATGATTCTGAAAACAAATACAAAAAATATAGTAGAGTCTCATTTCTGTGTCTCCTCTGTAATTTCCCTCACATTCCCCTCACAATAGAGAACCAGTTTTTTTGTGTATCCTTCCAGAGTTTCTTTAAACAATTACAAACACATACACATTTTCCTCCACTGTTATGCTTGTCTTGATATTTTTATACTCACCTGAGGATATTTTTGCATTTATCTTCAGATAGAGCAGGAGGGAGAGAGGGGGGAAGAGAGAGAGAGAGAAACATTGACGTGAGAAAGACACATCGAGTGGTTGCCACCCACATGATCCCAACCTGGGCGGGGACAAACTGCAACTGAGGTATGTGCCCTTAGCGGGAGCTGAACCTGGAACTCTCTGGTCCACAGGCCGATGCTCTAACCGTTGAGCCAAACCAGCCAGGGCTTGGATTATTATTATTATTGTTTTTACTTAATGTATTTTAGGGAACTTGTCATAACAATACATAGAGAATCTTCCTCCTTTTACAGCTGCATGCTATTTTACTGGATGGAAGCTTCATGCTTTAACCAATGTCATGATGTTTAGATTATTTCTTTTGCTTTGTTTTGTTACTGTAATACTGTACTAAACACCTTGAACATAAAACTTTCCACCAATGCACTAGTATCTAAAAGATAAATTCCTAAAAGTGGTTCTGCTGGGCCAAAGGATATCTGCATTTGCAGTTTGGAAAGCCAAATTCCCTTGATTGGGGTGGCAGAGATTACACTCCCATTAACTGTATGTGAGAGCCTGCATCCCCACAGCCTTACCAATGGAGTAGGTTCTCAAACATTTTGGATTGATTAAAATGCTGTCTTATGGTTTTTTGTTTGTTTGTTTGGTTGGTTGGTTAATCTTCACCCAAGGATATTTTTAGGTAGAGTGGGAGAGAGCAAGAAGGAGAAACATTGATGTGAGAGACACACATCAGTTGGTTGCCTCCCATACAACCCTGACTGGAGCCGGGGATTGAACCTGCAACCCAGGTAGGTACCTATGACCGGAAACTGAACCCGTGACCCTTCAGTTCAAGGGCTGGCACTCCAACCACTGAGCCAAACTGACTAGGGCAAAATGATATTTTATTGTTTTAATGTGCATTTCTCTTATGAGTAAAATTGCACATTTTTCATGTTTTTAAAGGCCATTTGTACTTGTTAACTTTTTAAAACAACCATTGAATATTTGATGCTAGAGGGCATCTAAGGTTCATTACAACTCTGAAGTCCAACAATTTTCTGGTCATCGCATTAGGCAGTTGAGATAAAAGGGAAGCAAAGAATTGAGGTCACGGATGGTCCATTTGCTCTGACTAAAGTGAAATCTCCAAATGTGCCACTAGAATACGAGCAATGAAAAGTGGGAATTATGATTTATCCATCTTTATTCCCAGCAAAGGGTCCAGGATTTTGTAGGCACTTAGTTATAGTGAACACTAGTGATGAGAGTAGCTATTCTTTGGAATTCCCTTCACAGAAGTACCCAGCTAGGATTAGGATCTAGATAATCTTGATAGCCTGCCAGTGAGTTAAGGTTTTTATTGCTTTTGTTTCATTGGAGTATAGCCACCCTAAAGCTTATGAATAAAAAATAATCTGAAATGACCATTGTTAGCTATATAAGATCAGGGTCTGACATTCAATACATTTGGTAAGTTTACTAGTGAATGAAGTTTGCTTAAATGCAGAAATCACAATACAAACAGAAGTGTGATGATTCTTAGAAAATCTAGAAAACAAATAGTTGCCAGTGTTCTTTCCTTCCTATCTTAGGGGAAAGGACTTTCTAATTCTAGACCATCTGGTTCTTTAGGTAAAAACATCTGGGACTAGCCCTGGTCAGTTTGGCTCAGCGGTTGGAGCATCGGCCTGCGGTCCTGAGAGACCCGGGTTCGGTTCCCGCTAAGGGCATGTACCTCGGTTGCAGTTTGTCCCCGGCCCTGGTCGGTTGTGTGGGTGGCAGCCACTCGATGTGTCCCTTTCATATCGATGTTTCTCTCTCTCTCTCTGTTCCTCTCCCCCCCCCCTACCTGAACAAAAAATGGAAAAATGTCCTCGGGTGAGGATTAAAAAAAAACAAAAAAACAAAAAACATCTGGGACTGTAAAGGGGCAATACATGTGGCTATCATAAGGGCATTTGATTAAGTTTGTTCTAATTATGTTTCTCACTGCCTGTTTTCAGATGGCTCCCTATTCTTTCTTAAATTTTTATATTTCAATTACAATACAATTCAATATTATTCTATAATAGTTTCAGGTGTATAGCATAGTGGTTAGATATTTCTATAATTTATGAAGTGATCCTACCTGACACCATACATAGTTATTACAGTATGGACTATATTCCCTATGCTGTACTTTACATCCCCATGACTATTTTGTAACTACCAATTTGTACTCCTTAATCCCTTCAGATGGCTCCCTATTCTGATTCAGATTCTGCTTGCCTCATTCTGCCACTCACAGACAATTTAAGAGCACAATAAGCCTAATTACAGCAGGGGAAAATTTTAAAGTTCAAATCCTCTATGGATGATATACACTGTAAGCATTTTGTTGTTACTCAGCTTTGCATAGGCTTAAAGCAGTGCTTCTCTCTTATGGGTGAATATTAGCGTCACCTAAGTTTTTCTGTTGTTGTTGTTTTTTTACCTTCTCCTGAGGACATTTTTGCATTTATCTTCAGACAGAGCAGGAGGGAGAGAGGGAGAAACATCAATGTGAGAGTGACACATCGAGTGTCCGCCACCCACACGACCCCAACCAGGGCTGGGGACAAACCGCAACCGAGGTACCCAGCCGGGGCTCTGTTGTTGTTTTGAATACACATACTCAGTTCCTTGTAGAAGGTATCAGACTCTCCCGGGAAAACCTTGGTCAGGCATACTCTGCAAAAGCTCTCCAGGTTGTTCTAACACTTTCCCACCTCCCACCTTCACTCTCACCTCTTTTCAAGAATAAAAAGCACCTCCCAGGTGCTTCCCTTTTCCCCATTCCTTTGCCTTCAGCTAGAAACATCGTTTCCCTGAATCAACTACTCTGCTGTTTCCCTTCCTAAGAATCATTTATTATTATTATTTTTAGAGAGAGGAGGGGGAAGAGAGAAACATCGGCTTATTGTTCCACTTATTCATACATTCATTGGTTGATTCTTGTATGTGCCCTGACCATGGATTGAACCCTTGGCATATTCTGCAACCTTGGAATATCAGGATGATGCTCCAACAAATTGAACTACTGGCCAGGGCGCCCTAGGAATCATTTCTGTATCCTGTCATGGCTTGTGGAATGAGAACTACTCCCATGCTGTTCTTAATTCCTGCTTTCAGAACTAAAAGGAATCATACATTTGCTCTGTATTTTATGTATAGTGTTCAATATATATTGTTTTTAAGAAAAGCAAAAGAACTAGCTATTTATTATCTAACCTTCCTCATCTCCTATTTCTGATACGCATTCTGTAAATGTTAATAGTTTACCCTCTAGGAGCTGATACTTTCCCAGTTGATAATTCTCTTATTGAACTTTATCAGTCAAAGCATATGATATTTAAGTACTTCTTATCATTTTACTGACACTTATAATCACCTAAAATCATCCTAGTTCAATCCCAACTTTGTGTGTGTGTGTAACAGAAAAGGAAACCAAGACCATGAATGGTTAAGTAACAATTCAGCTAAGGTCCAAGTAGCAGAACTTTTACTACAATCCTAGTCTTATTAAGTACTGATCCAGTGATTTTCTGCTATAGCACGTTATCACTCCAACAAAAACTATTTACACTCATCCTGGCCGGTTTGGCTCAGCGGTTAGAACATCGGCCTGGCGATCAAAGACTCACAGGTTAGATTCCAGCAAGGGCATGTACCTCAGTTGCAGTTTGTCCCGGGCCGGTGGTAACCAATCGGTGTGTCTCTTTCACATGATGTTTCTCTCTCTCTCTCTCTCTCTCTCTCTCTCTCTCTCTCTCTCTCTCTCTCTCTCTCTCCCTCTTCCTTTCTCCCTCCCAGTCAATCCGAAGATAAATGTATACAGTATCCTCAGGTGAGGATTAAAAAAAAATCACGCGCATTTAATTCTCAATGATGATCACTGACCCTGTGCCAGATGCTTCACACACTCTCATTTAACTGAGGATTAACATATAAAACATTTTAAAGATGATCAAGTCAGGGCAAAAACAAGAAAGCCATTACAATCAATTCTGGGAGAAGGGACTTTTTCCTAAAAGGAATTTCGGATAAGAACACTTCGTGTCAGTGGGACCACTTACAGGCTGTCTTTTCTCGCCCCAACGATATCCCAGCTTCTCTCCTCACATGTCTTCTCCCCCAAACTCAATTTGGCTTTGCTAGGGTGTCTTACTATTAACTCAACACGTCTAATCCCGTAACGCTGCTGGTTTTCTTCTACCAGTTGTCTCCTGAAAGGCATTTTCCTGGATCCGGTCGCAGGAACAGAATCTCAATTCCTTTTTCTCTCTTCACCCCACAAGCCCCCGCTACAAGGCTTCACCTCAGCAAGCCCCCGCCGCGCCCCCAAGTGGACAAAGAGGAAACAGACACAATGTGGTGATTTGAAAGGTCTTGTGATAGTTCGTTCATTTCATAGGGTGAGAGAGCTGCTCTAACTGGAGCCCTGTGGGGGAAGGCATCGGCCAGTGCCTGGAGGAAGGGAAGTGGCTCCCACACTAAGGATTCCCGGCTGCACTCTTAGGGCTTTCAAATTTCGTGGAAGTCTTCGCGCGAGCGGCCCTTGGGTCAGTTTTCACGGACGCTGACCTCTGGATGGTCCGTTTTACCGCCTTCCCGGGCTCCTGCTTCTTCTCTTCCTTCGGCTTCTTGTCCTCTCGGCTCCGGGGCCGGCCCTCCCTCACGACGCGTCCTCTCGCCGCGTCCATCGCCTTGGCCCTGGAGCGCACCAGGCTCTTGGCTCTTGCCTTCAACCTCCTGGCCGCGGCGTCCGCCCTCACGCTCCGTCTCCACACCTCCCTGGCCTTCACGGCCGCCCGGCGGCGCACGCGGCGCCTCCGTGGGCTGCGTGCGGCCGCGAGGGTCCGCCTGCGGCTCCGGCCGCCGCCCTCCAGCCGCGGGCGCCCGGGCTTTCTCCTGGGCTTCGGAGTCTTCCAGACCCTGAAACAGCCGGAGGCGTTGCTGCCGCTGACCCTGAGGAGCGCGCCCCTGACGTCCGACTTGGGCGCGTCGCCCGAGTGGCGGCAGCACTTCCTGCGCACCTGGTAGCCGGCGTTCCCCAGCTCCTTCTTGAGCGCGGCCACCGTCAGCACTTTGTGCGAGGCGAGGGCTCTGAGCAGCAGCTGCGACACTTTGAGCACGGAGCGCGGGTCCCGTCTCGGCGGGGCCCCGACTTTCACCGTGGGCTGCGGGGTTTTAACTTCAGCGTTTTGGGATTCGCCACTGGGCTCGGCCACCTCAGCCCTGGCCTCGGCCCCGGCCCCGGCCCCGACTCCAGCCGCCGCCGCGGCCCCAGCCCCCGCCGCCGCCGCAGCCCCAGCCCCCGCCGCCGCCGCCGCAGCCACGGCCCCGGTCGCCTCAGCCATGGCGCGCTCCGCCTGCTCCGCGGGGCCGCCGGGTTTGGGACGCGCCCACCGAGGGCGGAGCTAAGGCGGAGGCGGTGGGGCCGCGTCACAAAGGCCCCCAGCGCGGAGGTTCGGGTCCTGTTGCGCCGGCTGGCGGCGCCCTCTGCAGGGGCCTTTTGCACGTTTACTAACCTGCCACTTCCTTCCAGGTGTAAACCAACCCGCATCTCCACGCCGACGCCCCTGAAGAATCGCCTTGGTAATCTTCCCGGTGTTGTTCCCTGCTCTCATGCTCACCCTTCTCATCGACCTTGATCTCGACCACTTTTTTACTCGTTTTCGATGAAAATAGTGCACATCATCGACCCACATTTCCCTAAGGGGAGAGACGCTGCTCTCAACCATCCCAAACAAGTCTTACCACGCCTTTGAAAACGAAATGTGGTCCATAAAACACAGCCCGGCCTGGAAATGCCCGCCCTTGGTGTCTGCAGTCACGCCCCCCTGACCCCGCAAAGGAAGGAACCCCGGGGTACCCTCACCTAGGGAGTTCGGATGCCTCATTCACTTGGATTGGAACAGATACCAAATAGCCTGAGAACACAGGTCTAATCATTATTCTCAGAACAGACTTTGTGCCTTTCTCCCTCTAGTCCCTCTTCCTGGGTTGCCCATCCCTTTTCTCTGCCTGGAGAAATCCTGCTTATTATTGTTCCAAGTCCTGAGAAATCCTTTCCTCACTGAAGCCTCCTCAGACTTTCAAATGATTTCTCTCCTCTTAACTACCACAATTACTTTTACAACCCCATACTGCTTTTTCTTTATTTTAAATTAATTTGGTATTAGAGGGTACAACGTGCCACAATGTTTTCTAAAAGAAAACAACAGCAAAAAACAACCCTGGACTTGGAGCTGGAAAACATGGATACATATCCTAGCTCTTTAGCAGCCATATGACATTAATAAATCCCGTAATATCTTTGTACCCGACTTCTTAAAAAAGAAGCCTGTAATCCCTCCCTACCAACATCACATAATTATTGCAAAGGTTCAGAGGGGGTGATGGTAGCTGACAAAAGGCATAAAATTCTGTCTTTCCAACTAAATAAAAAGGTTCCTGAGAGCCAGATAGTCTTTGAATTTCTATGTCCTATCTTGTACCTAACATGATCTTTCATTATATATAGCAGACATTTGATTGAGTCTGCTTAAACTCCTCCCTAGTGAGGAGGCTTTCTCAGGATTCAGGAGGAAACTCCCAGAAAATCAGCAGAAAGGAGCATGATGAATTTGAAAGGGTTAGAAATGAAGGGACCAAGGAAGCTAGTTGCTCAAGAACCTCCTATTTTGGAAACAGTTTAATTGGGAGTAATTCAAAGAATACTTCAAACTGCAAAACACATCATACTTTTCCAGAGGACATTCACATATACTCAGCAGTCTACTGTGACATGGTTTCTTCCAGGAATCAAAGTTCTACCAAGTAGCTTAGACCTGAACTTCTTAAACATGAATGTGTACTTAATAAAGTATAAATTCTAATAATTAGGTCTGGGATGAGGCCAGAAGTTATACTTTCTAACAAACTCCCAGGTAGTTCCATCTGGTTAAAATACAAGTGTTAGGTGGTAGGAGGAGAGTAGAGAGAAGGGAAGTGGCAGGACATTGAGACTGAAAGGTGGCATAGGGCTGAGGTTTGAAGGACAGATATCACAACAATGACACATCTGTAAGTGGTCACACAGAAGTAAGTGATAAAATTTTTATTTAAACCTAAGTCTACTTAATTCTAAGGCCTGAGTTCTTAACTACAATACTGTCCTTGGTTTCCCTTTCTCCAAGATTGATCCTCTCCACCTTACATATCTCTATTACAGAGCAGAGGAAGTTTATCGCCATAATCACAGCTCAAAATCAAGAGTATCTACAAGCATTTACTGTACCTTCTGCCAGTGTTGAAATCAAGGCAGAGTACTGTGAACCCAAGGATCTGTAAGGGCAGGGACTGACACATCAGCACATGGACAGTGCACTATGGAAGAGTTGCCAGATGGAGAGGCGGAGCCACATGGAGCAGGATTTCTCCCATGTGTGTATTCTCTTGGTCTGGCTATACATCCTGGGTGCATTGGCCAGTGGCCATAGGATGGGGCAACCACCAGAGGGAAAAAAGAGACAAAATTGTATGCTTTGATAGTAGGAGGAGAGCTAGTGAAGTCTAACCTTCAAATCAGCTGATTCTAGGTAAAAATAGTTTGGCTACACACAATGGTATCATCATGAAAGACAAGAACCAAATCAAACAACCATGTTTATTAATACCCTTGAGATGACAAAGGAAACTAATTAAAAACCTTTGGAAAAGCCTGAAATGAAAGAAAAATAAATATATGAAAAACATATCAAAAACACCTGTGGAAAAAAGAAAAGCAAACATTTTCGTTTATACATAACCATTTATTTCTATATAGATTTATCTACAAATATGCTCTAAATAATAGAGGAATAACAAAAATGAGAGGTAGGAAATAAATGCCCACTACCACTCAGCTAGTTCAGAGGACAAAAAAGCCAGCTGATAGACATTTTCCATAGCACCAATCCCTTAGAGTCCTTTTCTTCCTCTGTAGAAAAAAATCTACTTGCCAGCCTGCTCAGAGGGTTATTCCTGCTTGTCCAGTGACTATGAGTCAGCTTTGGCCTGGGCAAACCAGCAAAATTCTCCTCCAGCCCGGCTAGTGTGGCTCAGTGGCTGAGTGTCCACCCATGCCCCAAGAGGTCACTGGTTCGATTCCTGATTAGTGCACATGCCCCTGCTGTGGGCCAAATCCCCAGTCGGGGGCATGCAGGAGATGGCCAATTGATGTTCTCTCTCACTGATATTTCTATCTCTCCCTCTCCCTTCCTCTCTCTCTAATATCAATAAAGGAAATCAATAAAGGAAAAAAAATTATCTTCCATCCAATGGACTGTAACCATATGATTTTCATCAAGGCCTTAACTCCCATTTCAAGTTTTTCCTTTCTTGTTATTCTCCTATGATTACTTAAAAATTCTTTATAATAACTTTCCCTGTTTAAATTACTCTGTGGTTTCTATCTCCTAATTGGGCTAGACCTTCTTATTGCAGGAATTTTGCAACAGTGAGCTTTCACTAAATTCAACTTAAAAAACAAATTTACATCTTTAAAATGAAGCCCAATCCTTAAAATCACTTTACAGTATAACAAAAAGGACCGTAGAGCTTTTTTATGTTTGCCATTAAATGTAACTTTTAAGAAGTTAGGAATAAGTTTTAATGAGAAATGTATAGGCTTTAGTAGTTAACTACTTGAAATTATTTAAAGAAAATATTCATGTTTCACTACACACTAAAACATTTAATATGGATCAAAGAGTTAAACATAGAAAATGAAAATAGAGAAAAATTCATTAAGTATTTTTCTGAGTTTAGGAGAAAGAAAAGTTTTCTAAGCATAAAAATAATGGAAGAAGTCACAAAGGATATTACTGACACATGATTATATTAAATTCTTAAACTTTTGTACATTAAAATAATTAAAACAGTTAAAAAGCAAACTGAGGAAAATTCTACAAAAAAGTCTAAGCATTATTCCAAAATTAAAAATAAATCCCAAAATTAAGCAATGTATAAACTAAAACAATGATTAATGTGCAAAAAACATACTCTACCCTAAACTATAATAAAGAAATATTATTTTAAAATAAAAACATAGAGTTATGAAACTTCTGTTTCCAGACAGACTAATCACCCCTCCTCTCAATGCCTCTCTTACTAATCACCTCTCCTACAACTAAAAATCTTGGACTAAAATATTTAAAACAACTACTGGAAGACTCTGAAAGGTAAATAAAAACAAGTGGGCTGGATAAGGATTTAAAGGACAATGTAACAGTGAGTTCCTTGGCTTTTCTGTTTTGACTCATATGTATTCCAGATTGAACACTAGTGCAGCCTGAAATCCAGAATTGCCAATAGTGCAGACAGAAAAAGCCCCATAAAAAAATCTACTCTTGCCCTGGCCGGTTTTGCTCAGTGGTTAGAGCATCGGTCTGCAGACCAGAGAGACCAGGGTTTGGTTTCCAATTCAGTTCCCGCTAGGGGCATGTACCTTGGTTGCACTTTGTCCCCTGCCTTGGTTGGGGTCGTGTGGGTGGCGGTCACTCGATGTGCCTCTCTCACATTGATGCTTCTCTCTCTCTTCCCCCCTCTTTCCCTCCTGTTCTATCTGAAGATAAATGCAAAAATGTCCTTGAGTGAGAATTTAAAAAAAAATCTACTCTTTCTAGCTGCAGGACTGGGAAATGGGAGAGGGAGAACTGTGGGATGGAACATTCTGATTTTTACCCATTCTGCTCTAGGTGATTACCAGCAAACCAGTAGCACTCCTTCTCCTCCCCACCAAGTAGACTGTGTGATCAGAGCCCCATAGACTCTCTCTGTATACCAAAGAAGTGCCAGCAAAAAAGTTGTGTCTCACTCTGGCCCCACCAGCAGCAGTGAAGTGGCCCCTGAAGGACAAAGCCCAGTTTCCTCCTTCTTCCTTATACCAGCGCCAATAAAGAGGCAGAGCCACGCCTCTGTCGGTGGCAGGGTCTACATAGCAGAACTCCGGCAACAGTGCAGGGAAGCTAATGTCCTGGCTTTCTAGCCAGAATACCAGAAACAGGGAATGCTGGGAGGCAGAGGGTGAGCAGAGGATCAAGAAAACGAGGGAGCTGGAGAAAGAGAACCTTAAAACTTGAATATGGAGTCCCAATCTCACCCCTAGTTGTTACATGAATGAAACTGACTGGAATCTGCGGAGTGAAGGCTTTACATAAACATTGTGTTATAGTGTAGACTGCTCCCCAAGAGTCAGACTGACTGCTGATGGAGTACTCAAGAGGGGAAGACCAGAACAGCACCGCAAAGGCTTTGAGACTAAATTGAAATTGGAGCCACAACCCAACGAATAACAAGTGAAGACACACAATCAAAACATAACCAGGTTAACTGC